CTTTGCCTTCTGCCATAATTGTAAACTTCCTGAGGCCTCACCAAAGCCAAGCAGATGCCAGTGCTATGCTTCCTGAACAGCCTGCAGAACCATGAGCCAATTAAACCTCATTTCTTTTTAAAGTAAATAAAAAGTATACAGAAAGATCAGAACACCATAAAAATAGGCACATTTGGAAGTGAAGCTATAGAGATTATATAGTTTAAAATGTCTAATTTTTAAAAAACTTAATTCAGTAGATTAAACATAGCTTAAGAGAAAATCAGTAAATTCGAAGATAGGACTTAAGAAATCTCACAAAATGCAATACAAAAAGATGTTTAAAATATTAAAAGGAAGACAGAGAATAGAATTTTATTAAGCATTCCAGAAGGATATAATACAAGGAATATGAGAAAAAATTTGAAACGAAAATGGCTATGATAGAGACTACTACTTGTTTCCCAATAGCCAGTCATCCCCTCTTTCTTACTAATAAAATCACCCATTTTTAGCTGGAAATTTGGCTGACCAGAATAAAGACAGTATTTCCCAGCTTCCCTTGTAGCTGGGTTGACTATATGACTATGTTCTGGGATATATAACCTGAGCAGCATGTGCAACTTCTAAAAATGTCCTTGAAGGGAGGATGTAGGCACTATTTTCTTCCTACTAGCTGGAATGCAGCTGTGATAGTTTAAGGTTTTAGCCATCTTGCTGAAAATGGAGGAGCAATAAAATACAAGGATCCTTCAGCCCCTGACATCATAAAACACTCCTGGATGGCCTAATCTGTCTGAGAAAGAAATAAACTTCTATCTTGTATAAACTACTCAGATTTAGGATTGTTGTTTTCTTTAATCACTTGTAGCAAATTCTACTCCTAACTTATACAATGACTGAGTATTTTCTAGGATTAAAGAAAGATGTGAGTTTTCAATCTGAAGGAGAAAAATAAATTTTGAACTAGAAAAATGAAATCCACACATAGATACATAATAGTGAAATCACAGAATATCAAATGTAAATAGAAAAACCTTAAAAACAAATCAGAGATAAAAGAGCTCTTACCCATAAAGGAAAGACAACCATAATGTCAGCAGACTTTTCATTCACAACAATGGATGCAAGGCAGCAATGGAGTAATATCGCAAAAATACTGAAAGCAATAATGGTCAACAAAAAACTCCATGCTAAAATAAACTAAGTCAAGAATGAGGGTAAAATATGGACATTGTCTGACATACACAGAATAATTATTGCAAGCACTTATATAATACTTATATAACTGTACAAGGTACTATTCTTAGTGCTATATAAATATTTTAACTCAGTAATCTCCACAACCCTCTGAGGTAGATACTGTTAATATAACCATCTTAGAGATGATAAAACTAAGATACAGGGAGGTTAAGGTAACTTGCCCAAGGTCACACAGCTAGTAAATAGCCAAATCGGGATTTAAGCCCAGGCGTTCTAATCTAGACTCCATGGTTTTGTTGTTGTTGTTTTTTTTTTTGTTTTTTTTTTTTGTTTTTTTGAGACGGAGTCTCGCTCTGTCGCCCAGGCTGGAGTGCAGTGGCCGGATCTCAGCTCACTGCAAGCTCCGCCTCCCGGGTTCACGCCATTCTCCGGCCTCAGCCTCCCGAGTAGCTGGGACTACAGGCGCTGCCACCTCGCCCGGCTATTTTTTGTATTTCTTAGTAGAGACGGGGTTTCACCGTGTTAGCCAGGATGGTCTCGATCTCCTGACCTCGTGATCCGCCCATCTCGGCCTCCCAAAGTGCTGGGATTACAGGCTTGAGCCACCGCGCCCGGCCGACTCCATGGTTTGATTAATCACTGTGCTTCACCATCTCCATGACTAAGAGAGTTAGCTGCTCACAGATCTTCACTGAAACATTAAAAGATGTCATTTAAAAGATTTATATTAAATCTAGACAGAAAAAGTTAGGATGTAAGCAGAAAAGCAAGGCAAATAAATCAGTAAATCATACTGATTAACCTATATATTAACTATAAGGATGTTCTTTCATGAAATCATTCTGATAATAGATTCTAAGGGACATTTTCCCTTATAGTTTCTTCATTTGGCAAAACATATATATTTGACAACCCTATGTCAGTTTCCCCCACCCCCCCCCCCAAAATTGGTAATTTTCCCAGTCTGTGAAATTCCAAATTGGTTTGATCTATTGTGAAACAGGATTTTTTTGAAAAAGCAAATTTGCAAGGTTTATTACTGTATCATACAAAAATATATATACATATTTATTGGTAATTGGGTATTTGTACTCATGATGTAGGGAGGGCAGACTGCATGATACCATTAGTTAGAATTGCTGTTCTCTAAGGAACATGGCCCTAGGAAAGGGTATGCTATAAATCAAATGTAAAAAAGGAGAAGAAAAACCCTTTCCACCACAGAAATTCATTGCCAACTTAATAAGATTTATGGAGAAAATGCTTTTGGTCAGTAAAATATATCAAGATGCACTGTAATATTTCAGCCAAGAAGGCACAGTCCAGTGCTATCTGTGGCCATAAAAGCCAAAGATGGATTTCAAGAGATAGAGAAAACATGTTACGTTTTACTTACTTGCAATATTTTATTATAAAAATTTCTTCAAATTACTCTGTAAACTCTTTTTAAAGACTGTAGATTGAGAAAGTATTAGTTTTATTCTTAAGTAACCTGATAGGTCACATAATTTCCTCATTATCTAGTCAACTTCACACTAGGAGATATCTCCAAAAAAGGTCCCCAGAGTTCTAGCTCTGTTTCACAATCATAAGCAAAAAGAGTTGAAGAAACTTATGACCTAACACAATTGTCATGGCTAGAATAGTAATTGTAGCACTCACACATACTGAATTTCCACATTTGGTTCTTCTGTAAAAACAATTTCATTTGTTTGCTTGCTTTTGTTTTTGTTTCTTTACAGTAGTTTCATCAGCAGCTTATGTGTATTTTGTTGTGGTGGGAGCTGGGGATAGTGGGAAGGTACTTTTAAACATCAGGCAATAAAGTTGAAATTTCTTTGAAAGCCCTTACATAGTTTCTAATGTCTGGTATACATGGCTTTGTGTACAGTAATTCTTATATGTACTAGAAAATAACACTGAGCTAGAAGGACAAAAGGAAAAGCCCTGTCAGATGTCTGTCTGCTTGTAGTCTCCTCCATTGGGTTTCGATATGAGATTTCCATAACCCTAGCGCATGCCTATGCAATAAAGGATTAATCTGTCCCAAAGAGAGTTCTGGCCTTTGCCCTTGGATCCTGTGAGGTAACTTCTAACACCTTGGAATGTCCTGTGTAGGAGTATCTTATGTTTACTTGGGGGCATTGAGTCATGTCAGATAGTCTATAACAACAATGTGATTTATGGTGAGGGGTCTTGGGGCACATGGCATCAGCTTGACCTCTGGAGGGACTGGAGACTGAGGTCAGCCACACAGCTGTCAACCATGTCTTATATGACAAAGTCCAAAAAAAAACTCTGGACACCAAGGCTCAGGTAATTTCCCTCACTGGCATTACTCCATGCCAAATATCATCACACATTGTTGCTGACTCCACAACTCCACTGGGAGAGTACAACTGGAAGCTCATGCTTGGAATTCTCTCGGACCCTGCCCTATATGCCTCTTTTATTCGCTGATTTTAATCTGATTCTTTTACTGTGATAAACCATAATAATGTATACAAGAGCTCTGGTGTGAGTGAGTTCTGGGGTCATTCTAGCAAATTATCTAACATGAGGGTGGTCTTGGGGACCTCATCCTTGAATTGGTACTGCATACATCATATACACGAAGCATACCAGGCCACAGGAGCCTGCAACCATCACACTGGGTCACAGAACAATTTTCCTCTCATGACAAGTACTTAAATCCTCAGTTACCAAAACACTGGGATAAGCAAAATGTGTCAGGAATTTGTGTGTGGGGTGTGTGTGTGTGTTTGGTGTGTCCGTCTGATGTGAAATGAACCTGGACTTACAGACATTTTGACTCATACCATCTAACAATAATCTTAGGAGGCTAAAAAAAAAATCCTTTAAATCACTGGGGAAGACAGCTTAGACCAAATGCTGAAAAATCTGGTTTCTAACCCTAAGGCAGGTCTTGGAGCAGTATTTCTCATCTACATGAACATCAGTTTTCTAGTCCATGAAGCAAGAACAATTAGAGCAACTCTACTTAGGTTGTGGGTCATCTTAAGGATCAAATTAAGAAAGAAAATTGATTTGAAAGTGCTTTAGAATTTGTAAAGCAACCAGACAGATGTACAGTTTCATTATCTCTTCACAAGCCTATGAAAATTTGCACTGGCAAATTGAAATGTTTGCTTAAATAACCAGGACAATTCCTTGGTTACAGCAAAGCACTGTTTTGAAAGGAGGAAAAAGAATACTACTGAGTGCATTTGTTTTATAATATACAATTTCACAGGTCACAAGGTAGTTTGTCAATCAATGCTATGCTGACATTTCTCACCACGCCAATCACACCAAAGTTGCTGGAGTTATTAAAATAATTCAGTGAGGGGAATGAAGGGCATCCCCACTGCAGAATAGCCAAGTGAGATGTTCCTTCCTTCACCTTGCTTCTAACGTTATTGCTGGTGAATTCACACCGTACAAAAATATGGAGTAATTCTATACTACTTTAGTCCTATATTTTGGTCTGGCCAACTATTAAGAAAAAGAAGTCAGCCAGGTGTGGTGGCTCACACCTGTAATTCCAGCACTTTGGGAGGGTGAGGCAGGTGGATCACCTGAGGTCAGGAGTTCAAGACCAGCCCTGACCAACATGGTGAAACCCCATTCTCTACTAAAAATATAAAATTAGCCAGTTGTGGTGGCTTGTGCTTATAATCTCAGCTACTCGGGAGGCTATGGCAGGAGAATCACTTGAACTCAGGAGGTGGAGGTTGCAGTGAGTCAAGATTGTGCCACTGCACTCCAGCCTGGGCAACAGAGTAAGACTCTGTCTCAAAAAAGAGAAAAGAGAAAGAAAGTCAAAATCACATTTTCAGAGAAGGAAGCAGGGAAGAAGTTAAAGCTCCCTGCCACCTTTACGAGAGTGTTGTGGAAATTATAAAATGTTACTCATAAAAAGTACCTTGCAAATCCATTCAAAGGTATATCACAATTATTTTAGTACTAAAAAAAAAACATGTAAAGACAACTAGTAAACTTAGAAATACAGAACTGTTGCTGTACAGTTGACATATTTTTTGGTTTTGCCATCCAGAGTTCTCTCAGAATCTGAATTGGGCAAGAACAGAAATAACTTGAAACACACAAATCTGAGTAGTTCTGCCTAGTGACTCCTAAGCTGGCCCTGGTCAGTTTGAACTGTGGGAAAAGGTGAAGCAGTCCATTGGTCTTTAGGAGAAAGTTCTGTTGCGGGGGCCTGCTTCCCTTGTGACATGCGTGGAGAGGAAGCCTGAATGGAGGGGTGGGCTGTGACCCACCAAGGCCAGGATAGCAGAGTTCCTGACGTTCTCCTGAACTTCCTGGAAGTCTTGAGAGGTGAGACAGTCCCTGGAGGGGTAGTCTGCCCCGGTCAACTTTGACGTACCCAGGGTCGCCTGCCAAGTGAACTGCTTTTATTGTTAGCAAATGTCACTCCACCCAGGGCAGGATTTTCAAAGATTCCTTAGATGAATGGGAACTTCTGGTTGCTCCTTGTTTTCTGAAGTGTGTTATGACAGGCATTTGCTCTGTTCCTTCTTTGTAATTCAGGAAAATTCCTCAGGGCCTAGAGGGTGACCTTTAACAGAGAGCAGCAGACACTGTTACTCTTTTCCAGGCACTGCAGGGCCTGATGGGTTGACAGGTTCATTTTCTCACAGATGTGTCCATGTTTTTAGGCTGTTTCGGAAGAAAGAGGAAACATGTCACTGCTCTATTTCCTTGCTTGATTTTTGAAGATGGGGAGGATTGAGAGAGGGAGGTGAGGTGCCAAGCTCAGCCACAGAGGAGAGCCCAAGAAGCAAGACGGTGTACCCTGCAGGTGCCACCACCAGGGCTGATGCTCTTCACCAGGGTGCTGGCTCCTACTGGGTCTTTACAGGGAAGGCAGGCCTGTCCTTATTCCACATTTGCCCAGAGTCATCTTGGGCAGGCACATCTGGGCCTGGCTTCTATTCTGGTGCGGTCCCAAGGGAATGCATTGATGAGCTTGGTCCTCGGTTCCGAGTGGCCCTGGGGAAGGGGCTATACCCCACCCCCACTCCACACCAAAGGCAGCCGTCTGGAGATTTCCAGCAGGGAGGCTGGGTGCCTGCAGGCATCACACCTGCTGTCACAGTTGTCCACGTCTTGCTTCTAGTAAATTTCAGACATGCCAGTGGTGGGCGAGGGCAGGGGCAGCCCAGGGGGCGTCTCCTGGGAGGACAGCTTCAGTGCCAGAAACACAGCGGGTTGGCTCGGAAGCTAATCCCACAATGTGGGTGGGCATAGGAGTGGTCCCAGGCATGCTTCTGTTTGGGGAGCAGCTGCGCAGCCGTGGGAAGAACTGAGTCTATGGAAGCAGGAAAGCAGGTTTCTGAAGTCATGGCTGTGTCACTTGCCGGCTGTGCTACCTAACCTCTCAGGGTCCGGGTCCTTTATCTGTTAAATGATAATGCGAACAGCTACATCAGACGTCCTAGGAAGGAATACATGAAATAGTGCATGTGGTGGTGCTCTGTCAACAATACCTACTAACGTTCGTGGAACTATTCTATGAACTGTGTATGTTTTAGCTAGCATTCTCAGCAACCTTTTAAAGTAGGTCACTATTATTATACCCATTAAAATGTGATAGCAGATAAAGAATGTGGAGAGGGGGAGAACAGAGAGAGTAAGAAAGTTGCCTGTGGTCAAACTGTGACTATGCAGTGGAGCCTATCTTCAAACCAGGTGGTCACATTCCACGCCCACCCTCTTCATCACTAACAATGATGTTATGATGCGGGAAATGTCAGTGTTCACATTTATCATAAGGCTTCCTTCCTCCTTAGCCTCATCTTCAGTCGGTCGTTGGCATCTGCAGAGTGTACCTGTAGCTGTATTTGTACACTTGTTTTTATTATGTCACTCATCGTGGTGGTTGTAAAACATGGCCTCAGGCTTTTTGAGGCTCCTATTGAGAGGTGGAGTCTGTGTCCCCTCTCGGCGAATCTGGGCAAGCTTGTGACTGCTTAGACCAACAGAGCAAGGCAGGAGTGATGACAGGAGACTTCTAAGGAGACGTCATAGAAGGCCACTGTTGGCTGGTACACAAGGCCACCATGTAAGAAGGTCGACTACTCTGGGGCTGCTGTGCTGTGGTCATGCCAACCAGCAGTCCTGGCAGAGCCCAGCCTGCACTCTTCCCCAGGGTGCCAGGCACACGAGTGGAAAAGTCATCTTGGAAGTGGCTCCTGCAGCTCCAGCTCTTCAGCCCCAGTCACTTGAGCCCAGTCTTTTTAGCTAAGGCCCGAGATTGAGGAGGAGGGACAAGTCATACCTACTGTATAACAAAGTGATGTTGTTTGCTGCTCTGTTTGGGGTCCTTTATTGTACTGTGATAACCAGGGTCATCTCTGCCTCCTATGTTTCCCCTCCTATAGTTCTGCTTTCCAGTTAATGGTGTCTTGGGTTACCAATGGGTCCCTCTGAGTCCTCTTTTCCATTCCCACTGCCCCTGCCTTCCATAGTTCAGGACCTTACCACTCCCCTCATCCACAGGTAGTGGCCCCCTACTGACCCGACTTCACCTTCTCACACCCTGTCCCTTCTCTGTACTGCAGCTGGAACTGGTCTTTCCAGATGCACCTGAGTCATATCCATCTCAGCCTTCCTTAAAATTGTCTAAGGGCTCCCCATGGCTGCCTGAAGGAGTGACACAACCTTCACAGTGGGGCGGCCCCCCTCCAGCCAGCCACACTCCCAGCCCAGCGCTGGCTACTCAGTCTTCCCGGAACCTGCCGTGCATGCTTGTGCTTCTGTCCTTCCTCCATGCTGCTGCCTGGGCTGCCCAGGCCTTCACACCTCCCATGGCTATAACTTTTTATTCTTTCTCCAAGGCCTAATGCTGATATCACCCTCTCAGAAGCTCCCCCTCCACCAACTCCACAGCACAAATAAATGCTCCTTCATGGCCATCGTATCCTTCCCTAGTTTGTGTGTCGCTTTTGCAGCACTTCTTGTCTCTACACTTGGTATGTCCAGGGCTTGCCATGTAGCCTTCCTGGGATATAATACGTGCTCTATAAATGTTTCTAGGAGTTCCTCTGCTGCTGCCCTCAGAGAGTAATCTTCACCCTAGTATCATTAGTCTTCTTAGACCCAACACTTTGTCTCCTCCGCAAAAACTGTGGGTGACTGCCGATTCAAAAAAGACGCAACTCCTTGGCATGGCATCAGTGACCTCCACCTATGTCCTTGGGCTGCAGGAGCCTTCAGTAATGGTCAAACAGTGGAAGTCTCCCAAAAAGTCAGGTGAGTTAGTGCCTTGCCTGCTTCTGTGCTGCTTCGAGCCCTCCCTCCTCTTCTCTGCACGTGTTTATTCTCCAGCATGGCACCATCCTTGGTTTATGAATTTCTGCTCACATATTTACCTTCCTAATAGTCTCTTTCTACTAGACAGAGTCTATTCTTCCATTCTTCTATTCTGCCATTGAATTCAGGATAGAACATACTATCCCGTGAATGCCCATGAGGTAATATTTATTCCTGGCTATTAAAATGTCAAGTTCACTTTCGTTATTACGTAACGAATGGCACCCAGAACCCTGAGGTCAGCAGTGCCGTTTCTTACCTCCTCAGCCTGTACCGTACTGTGCAGCATGCCTGCCTGCAATGTTCCTTTCTCTCTTCTACTCCATACTGTCTATAGTAACTGATTTTCCCATTTTATCTGAGCATTTCTTGCCCTACTCTGTAATTCTTACAGATGGAATCCTAACATGCTGAAAATGGAAGTCTTTTGTTCTTTTGTTCTTTTATGAGGCATTTTAAGTACTGGAAAAGTGCTGAAAGTCCTTTTCAAAACAAGGTATTTTGAGTAATTAAATTTGAGTGGTCTGATTGAGAGATGAAATTACAAAACTTGTTTGGACTTTCCTTTAGTCATGGATGGCATTTTAAAGTATAAAGTAAAAACTGTCTCAGGGCAAAGGAGAATTAGGATTTAAAAATTTTAAGTAAAGGTAAAATAACACTTAGAGAATCAAAAATGAGTCTTTCCAAATTAACAGGACAGTTTGACTCCATTTAAAGAACTTAAATATCAACCAGTTGTTCACATTTTGTTCCCTTCAGAGGAATGTTATGCACATTATCCAGAATGGGTGTTGGAAAGAAAAGGCTGGGATAAGCCTGAACTTGGATGTAGTGGTCACGTTTCCAACACAGAGGACTTAACAGATTTCTAATTCTCTTTCGCGTGTTTTTTCTCGGAAAAATAAAGGTAGAATCAGCCAGTGCTAAATTTTGCCTTTAGAGCAAATTATGAAATGCACATGTCAAGATCCCCTTTCAGTTTCCCGCTGGCCCCTCGCCCCACTCCCCTACGTGTTTGCAGTGCACAGAAGGCTCCGCGCAGCCTTCCCCACTACATTTTCTTCCCTGATCTGCAAAAAGCACTTATTAATCTTACTGGAGAAATATTTTTTCGTTTTGCTTCACACATAATAGAATATCTAGTGAAGTATTAATATATGCTGGGTACCTTTTTATGACATTAATTCTTCAAACTTTTAAGGCTTCTTTTTCTCCAGGGTTTCCAGCTACTTTACCAGCATTTAAAAGTATCCCAAACAACACCCCAAACCCAGAAGCTGTGAAGGAACAGAACAGCAGACTTATCTACAAAAGAATGTAAAGTGTTGACATGGCAAAAAATAAAACTTTAATAAAGTTAAAAGATAAACGGAAGGGTGGGAGAAAATATTTGTAAGATAACAAAGTATTAATATTCCTAGTAAAGATATTAAAAGTTTTATATAGAGAGCTCATAAAAATCAGTAACAAAGTCATCAAATTAATAAGGAAAATAGCAAAGGGGCTAAACAGGCAATTCACAGAATTCAGAGTAAATACTGTCAAATTACTGCAAAGGAGGAACAAAATACAAGTTTTCCCCTTTAGTTGGGCAAAAGTTAAAAAAAATGTTTATATACAATATTGGTAAGGGTGAGGGGGGAAGCAGGCACTTTAATGTTAGAGTATAAATAGGTATAACCTTTCAGAAGGGCAATTTGACAAAAGTTATCAAAATCGTACACGTGTATACGTTTTTTACTTTACGATTTTACTCCTTGGTGTCTATGCTACAGAAATAACTATACAAGAAAACAACAGCATATTTACAAGGACATTTATTTGCTGTATTTAGTGCAAACAATTGAAGAAAACTTCAGTGTTCACAGGGAACTTTTAAAATACATTATGATACATCTGCCCAATGGAATTCTCTATTGTACATTTGAAGCATGGGCTAGATATTCTCCAAGATATATGCGAACTAACAGCAAGTCACAAAGCTATTGATATAGTTATGTTCCAATTTTTTGTTTTAAAATTTTCAAATCATATAGGGTGTGTGCGTGTGTGTGTGAAGTTATGGAAGGTTACTCACCATAATGTGTCTATCCCTGGAAAGTAGAGATAAAGAAGCAACTCCCTTTTTTAGCTTTATACTCTTCAATATTGTTTAAAATTTTTATAGTGACAAAACTTGTTTAAATTTTTTGGTTTTGTTCTTGAGACAGCATCTCACTCTGTTGCCAAGGCTGGAATGCATTAGCATGAACACAGCTTACTATAACCTCAACCTCCCCGACTCAAGCAATCCTCCTGCCTCAGCCTCCCGAGTAGCTGGGACCACATGTGCATGCCACCACACCTGGCTGATTTCTACCTTTTTTTTTTTTTTTTTTTTTTTTTTTTTTTTTGTAGAGACAGGCTCTCACCATGTTGCCCAAGCTGGTCTGCAACTCCTGGGCTCAAGTGATCCTCCTGCCTCACCCTCCCAAAGTGCTGAGATTATAGGCATGAACCACAGTGCTCAGCCTGTTTTTCAATTTTTTCATGAAAACAGTTGAAGAAAAATAAAATCTAAAGACACCCTTAACTATATTCCTGTCGTGAGTACCAACTCACTAAGTCTTAAGGATCCCTAAAATATCATAGTTACCTTAAAAATCTCAAGTTCGCTTTATGGCCCCTCTCTTGGGATAGAAATTCCTTCACTGGAATAGACATGATTTTACATTTGAGGCCATCAATTTCATTTCTGACCCTCATCCCAATTACTCCATCTTACTCATTTCCAGGCAATTATTCCCATGGACATAAATCTGACCTTTGGTGACAGTCACTGAGGACAATGCACTATACACTCATTGATGCAATGGGCTGGCTGTGCCCAGGATTGGGAGTAACATGGAGTGAGTTAAAGAAAGCCTGCCAGACACCACATGACACCAACCACTGTGAATGGTGTGCACACGCCTCAGCAGCCAGGGCCACCACTGCTTGGCCATTTGCACTGAGGCCCAGGAAGCTGAAGGATTTGGAAGAAGTATTAGCTACACACCAGGGCTTCACCCAGCTGGGCACTGTTAGCACAAAAAATTAGTCTTGGTTTTCCTCGAGGGCAGAGGCACTACCTTCCAGGATCACTGTGAAGTTCACACAAGAGTTTGCGTGCCAGGATTTTGTGAATGAGCTAGTGTCCTTCTGAAGAACAGAGTCTTTACTTCTCACCTTAGCAGTCCGTTTTCCTGACTTCGGTTCTCTCGGCCAAGTCTCAAAGGAGAGGATAGCACTCTTGGGCTTACAGAAGCTATTCATCAGCCCTTGTGGACTGTTTATTTCCTTACAAAGGGAATTTATGACAACACCTGTCTGCATACTGTCCATGGTTTGCTGGTAAATGTTTAACAACTGGCTCCCTGGGAAACAACAGCCTGATTCATAATATTGACCAATTTCCATCGTGTAGCTACAACTCCCATGGCTGATTTCAAGCTACCAACAAAACTTTACTGATTATCAATTGGGAAGAGATATATACAGTATATAGCACCATTATATAGTATTTCTACCTCAAGAGCAGAGGCAATAATCAAGAACAGTAAAATGATTAGGAAATGATAACTTGTGAATATTTATGACATTTATTTTTAACATAATTTTATTTATATAATTTGTATAGTTTATATGATTTACATAAGTTTATATAATTTAACTTTTAATAATAGATTTTCAGGAATTCTCAGCTGGTTGTGAAACCTAACAATTGGCTCTTGCAAGTCAATACAAACTAGCTCCAGCACAACTCTGAGACTGCTACACTGCAAGATACTACAGATACTATTTTTCCCGGGAAAATCAGTCATTATTTCCTTAATGAAAACCCAGTTCTCCCTTTGTTTTCAGCAGTCCATAGGTATGTTTGTGTGGCAACAGTAGGTGTCTGTATTCACAACTCCTTGGACTTGGTGTTGGGGCTGGAAAGTGTGTAGTAGATAAGAAAAGGCACAGATGTTGGAGTCAAATAGACCAGTGACTGTTCTGTGTCAACGTGTAATTTCATTAACCTTCAAGCCTTCATTTAATATTTATTACCTGTGGGATTGTTCTAAAAAGAAAAAGATAAAGCAGGTAGCGAATACACTTAAAAAGTAGAGCACGTGTGAAGTATAAGGACTGACACACGTGAAACACCCAGCCCAGGAGCTCAGTACATGTTAGTGCTTCTCTTTAACATGTGCCCATAGATTCCCCCCTTAATTGGTGGGAGCTATTTAGAGAGCCCTGCAGAGCAGGGAGCATCAGGACACAGCAGGCTGAACCCGGTTCTCCTTTCCTTACCAGATTTGGGAATCCAGCTGGGAAAAACATTGACTTTATCATACTGTTACCTGGGAACAGTCAGTAGTTTGACATTCTTAATTAGTGTTGCCGCTGTGGGGGAGAAGGTGAACAAAACTGACCTGGGTTTGTGGTGATAATATTCCCCTGGGTTACCAAGGCAGGATAACCAGTGCTAGTCTTTCTTGGGAAAAATCCCAGCCTCACACGGCTTTACGGCTCCAGAGCTTATCCAGGTGCAGGCCTGCACCTAAGCTCAACCAACAGGAGTTTAAAACAACATTTTTAAACAGGAAATCTATTGTAGCAACTTAAATTCTTCCCTAATTAATTGACCAAATTATATGTTTTATACATGTTAATAGATTTTTTTTTTAGAACATCAAAATTTTGTTTTGAAATGCATTTGGGAAAATATGCATGTGAAACTACCAAAAAATTTTCTAGAAAAGAAGAAACACAAATGCCCCGCTTTCTCAGGAAACAGAACATATTATCATTAACAATAAAATGCACAGGTACCGGTTCTAACAAAAATAACTAAAGCATGTATAACCATTCACAAAATATAGAAAAAGAAGTATTCAACCAAAGGAGAAAACTGGAATGTTGTCCCCTCTACTCCGTTTAAATCAAACTCCCTTTTCAAGTCCCAACTCAGTTCCCAAAAGCTCAAATAAGCTTTTTGGGACCCACATGTCCTGAATTCTAATAGCCGTAGAACTTGTTATCTCTACTCCTAAGTTTGTGCTTTCGTGATGAAAGTACTGTACTACTGTCCTTTGCAGAGATTTAAAATGTCATATTTTCACATCTTTGGTTTTTGAGGGCAGAGAGCATGTACCTATGTAAGCCTCATGAGACAGGCACGCAAGCCTCTACTTAAGCTTCACATGCAGCAGGCACCCAAACCTGTGAATGAATAATAAACCAACGAAGAAACAAATGAACGAAGCAATAAATGAATGATATAGATATCAGCAAAACATAGCTTCTAGGGCTCCCAGTTTCCTAGCCTGGCTTCACACAAGGAAATTACATTGATTCAACTTAAAAACAAGGCTTTCACTATAAATGTAGTTTATTGGCCTGATTGGCTGTGACTGACATCTCTGGAAAGTGACCTGGCTGCCCCTAACAATGCCTCCTCGTCTGGGATGCATTTCAGGTTTTATCCTTTGGCTTTTTTTTTTCTCCAGTTCCTCACTCTTCTAGTGTTTCATAATGTGTGGTTATTAGAGCCCCTCATCAGATCACCTGTGTCCCTAGATCATATGCAGATTCCTAGGCCACACTTGCAGACTTCTGAATCAGACTCTTGCGGATGAGGTGACATCTGCATCTCCTAGGTGATTCTTATGTAGTCTAAGGTTCGAGAATCCCTTATTTAGGAGGGCAAGGAAAGGCCAGGCCTGGTGGCTCATGCCTGTAATCCTAGCACTTTGGAAGGCCAAGGCAGGATTCCTTGAGCCCAGGAGTTTGAGACCAGCCTGGGCAACATAGGGAGACCCTGTCTCTACAAAAATTCAAAAAATTAAGTTGGCCAGGCACGGTGATTCATGCCTATAATCCCAGCACTTTGGAGGCCAAGGTGGGTGGGTCACCTGAGGTCAGGAGTCTGAAACCAGCCTGACCAACATGCTGAAACCCCATCTGTACTTAAAAAAGTCAAGCATGGTGGCATGTGCCTGTAATCCCAGCTACTCAAGAGGCTCAGGCAGGAGACGCGCTTCAACCCAGGAGGTGGATGTTGCAGTGAGCCGAGATTGCGCCATTGCACCCCAGCCTGGGTGACAAGAGCAAAACTCCTTCTCGAAAAAAAAAAAAATTAACTTGTTGTGGTGGTGTGCACCTCCAGTCCCAGCTACTCAGGAGGCTGAGGTGGGAGGATCGCTTGAGCCTGGGAGGCTGAGGCTGCAGTGGAGCCAAGATCACGCCACTGCCCTCCAGCTTGGGCAGCACAGCAAGACCCCATCTCAAAAAATAAAAAATTTTAAAAAAAAAGGAAAGAAAATAAATGTGTTATATGCCTCCTATATACTCAGTACTTGTATTTATGATAACTCCTTTGATGTTTACAATACCACTAAATGTAGACTTTATTATTCTTTCAGTAATGAGTCTTAGACACTATTGTATTGATCAGACAAATTGCCAAAGGCTCTTCAGTGAATTAGCACAAGCCTAGATTCCAAAGCAAATGCATCTGACTGCATCCCCACGGAGAACCCCACCCCCAACCCTCCTGCACTGCCTCAGTTCTTCCCATGACATCACACTGCCCACTCCCACCTGGAGTGTCTTCTCATTTGCATGTATTCAAGGTTCCAGGTTCCAGCTGATATCTTTCTATATCGACCCAAAGTGATCTGAGATGCTATTCCACAGTTCATTTGGCACAAGAGTTAAAACACTCAAAAAGCTCCTGGGAATTCCTTATCTACCTGTGGACATTACAGGGAGACCTTGTGCTTATATGCTTTCCTCTAACTGCAGCGCCACATGAGCCACGGCTATGTGTCCTCCACACCTAGTTCCCACACCTGCCCCTGACATAGACAATGCGTGCACACACCCACATGCACACACAGACATACACATACGCATGATCACACCCATACCTTACCAAGCATTTTGTACAGACACGTGCTACCATGGGAACGTGCGCACAAAATACATAGTTGATTCTCCTCTTTCCTTTATAGATATTTTCAAAACAGTGTTTCTGTGGTGATATCTTTTTTAGTCTTGTTTCCTTGACTGCAGGTTAAGAATGCTGAAATGCCTTGGGTGCCTTTTAGTAGGTCCTTCTCCACTGGGTTTTGTGGCTGAATGACTGTATTCCTATTTCTGAGTCAAAGTCTATTGTATTCATTATATCATTCATCTCTTTGCAGTGAAGTCTCAGAATACGCTTGCAAGAAACATCTCTCTGCCCAGGAATTTGAGATCACATTTCCCTCTTTCCCTCATCAAGCTCAAGCTGCTTTCCTGCTTTCAAGGCCTAGTCCTGCCCCATCGTTCTCTGCCCAAACCTTCCCCTGCCATCTCTGTTCCATACCCACGTGATATGATGCTACCAACCTCTATGCCTTTGTTCATGCTGGTTCTAATCTGAGGTTCTATTCCAATTCCTAACTGACCCCGTAAAATGACGCTAGGGAAGTCGTTACAACTCTCTAGGCCTGTTTCTTTACTCACCATAAAAAGGCTCCACAAATTATAAAGGCTACTGTTAACTAAGGCTTACTTTGTACATTGCCCTAAGTAGTTTACCTATGTTTTCTCACATCTTCTTAATACCCATTACAGGGAACATTACTGTCCCCATTTTTCAGATGAGGAAACTGAGACTGAGAGAAATAAATTGCCCAAAAGTATATAGCCAGCGAGGAACAAAGAAAGGATTAGAACCTGGCTTTGCGTAATTTCAATCCCCATCCTTTCAACTACTTGCTATGCTGTTCTTCAAAGACTTTTCCAACCCCGAAGTCTATGATTTTATGAACCTATTCAGCCTTCCTCATCCTTTCGCTCCTGTGCCATCTGCCCCTTGGAGGCTTTGGCATTTGGCCTATATGGAAATGGGCCATTTTCCATAATGGGCCCATTTCAGAATTCCATCTGATTTAACACTTGATTGTAAACCATCAGACTTTTTCCCATAATTTTTCAGTGGGTGTTCTTGTCTTCCTTCCAGATGAAACCTTGAGAAAAGGAGCCAAGACTATAATAGTGGTCCTGTGCCACAGTGCAGGAAGAGAATGAACAGAGAGATCACTGGCTTTTTTTTTTTTTTTTTTCGGTGCTTGCACCATATCCTAGGTGGTTTCATGCCATCTCATTTTCTCCCTGAAATATGTTCACAGTAAGTATTAGCAGCTTCATTTTTATAATGAGGAAGCTGAGGCCCAGAGAGGTTAAGTAGCTTACTCCATAATAAGTGGCTGAAGCGAACTTAATAAAGTCAGTCTGATTACAAAGCACAAATTTCCTGCTATAGAAATCTGAACAATGAAAGACAACAAACATTCTAATTTCCTTTCTCTTTTAGCCATCCCTCTAAATATCAGTACCGTTTGGGTACTCAATACCACACAATATTCTAAATCACTATATTGTTATCAATGTCCAAAGAGCTCTGAGTAAATAGTCAACGGAAATTGAGAACAGTAAAACTGAGCCAGTGCAGTAACATGTTTACTTATGAAAATCATTGATAATGTGGCCATTATAGATATGCCCTGTAAAGCAAGATAAATAATGAAGTAGTAATTATGGAATCATTGCAACTAATCGAAAGACTCCAGTTTTATAGTTTCTGATGGTCCCAGCATGCCTTTCCAACCTGATCTTTACCTACTTCATTTCACCCATGCTACAGCCATCATTTCCTGCCTCCATGCCCTTTTATTTTTCCATTTGAAATGTCCTCTCCAGTATCTCCACCTCTTCAAATCTTACCTATATTCAAAATATCACTTCTTCCCTTCAGTCTTCCTTAACCTCCTCCTTTGCATCTACTAGCTAGACTCTCCACATGCTAATAAACACAGATGTTTTCTACCCCATATTCCATTCTCCTCTCCTTCCTGTGCTCACAAATAAACCACATTTCACATTCACTTAATTGGACCATGTGGCGGATTTATGCCAACAGAATGCAAACAGAAGTGATATTCGTCATTTCTAGACTGTAGTGGTTTGAAAATATGTTCACAAATTCTTTGATGCTACTTCTTTCAAGAAGTGGAACTCGATTCCCCTTCTTTTGCACAGTGATTCTCTTCTAATGAACAAATATGGTGGAGGTGGCAGTATATGACTTCTGAGGCTAGATCATAAAAGCCGTTAAGCTTCTGCTTTATGTGTTCTCTCTCTCCTCTCTCCCCTCACTCTTTCTCAGATGAGGTGACTGGCTCTGGGGGAAGCCTATGGCCATGTTGTAAGGACACTCAATCAGCCCAGTGGAGAGGTCCACATGGCAAGGAACTAAGGCCTCCTGCCAACAGCCAACAAAGAACTGAGACCTTCTGCCAATAGCCATGAGAAAGTCCTCTTGGAAGAGAATCTTCCCATCTCATTCAAGCCTTCAGATGACCACAGCATGGGCAAACTTTGATTGCAGTCTCATGAGAGACCCAGAGCGAGAACCATCCAGTTAAGCTGCTATCAAATTCCTCAGCCCATCTAAATCGTGTTAATACCTGTCGTAAACAGATAACTAACAGATTAATAAGCAACTCATATACAGGCTTAGCTACAAATCATTCCATACCGTATTTTACTCAAACTGTTTTTTCCTAGTTTTGCCTTGAAGTGAATGAAGCTCTAGAAAGCCAAAGGACAGAAGGAGATAGGACCTCTGAGTCATCTGGAGGAGTGGTACCCTAGAAAGCCATCCCTATCATGCTAACTCACAAATTTGGGACTTGTTTGCTATAGTAGTTAGTGCTACTAATTCTGTGTAATATACTCTCCTTTTTACTTCTCATAGCATTTATTGTTCTCTACCATATATAATTATTTGCATAAATATATTTTTTCATTTTAGTCTATTAGGTGCTTAAAAAAACAAACAAACAAACAAACAAACTACATTGCCATGGTTTGACTGTGTCCTCCAGAAGCATGTGTTGGAAACTGAATTGCCATTGTAACACTATTAAGAGGTGGGACCTCTCAGAGGTGAGTAGGCCATGAGGGCTCTGCCTGCATGAATGGATCAATGCTGTTATTTCAGGAGTTTCTTATAGAAGGACAAGGTAGGCCCCCTTCACACTCTCTCTGTTGCACACTCTCTTGGCCGTCTGCCCTCTGACATGGGATGACACAGCAAGAAGGCCCTTCCCAGGTACAACCCCTCCATCTTGGACTTCTCAGCTTCTAGAACTGTGAGCCAAATATATTTCATTTTTTTATAAATTACCCAGTCTTTGGTATTGTTACAGCAGCACAAACCGGACTAAAACACGAAATGAGAAATTACAAGATGCTTGGTGGTATGTGCTTTGCCAATGTATCTCAATTAATTCTTGCAATAACCCTCTACAGTAAATACTATTATTCCTCTGATTTTTCAGATGTGAAATATGAGCCTGGGAGAGGTAGAGTGACTTGCTCATAGCCCAGAAGAGGCCAAGCTGACAAATCTGAGGATTCCTGAAGTCACGTCCTTAGCCACACTCTAACACACTCCCTCCCAGTTAGCCCTGCATCTCACACGGTGCCTAACAAAGTGTCTTACACACAGTTGTTGGTTAATTTGTGCCAGTGACTGCATGAATAAGTGAATGAAGAAATAGCAATATGTTAAAAAGGGGAAATGTCATAAAAGTTCACAAAGAATCAAAAAATCCTGTTGCTCTCAAATATTTTTTCCTCATACAAATGGCCCTTTTTACTTGTATGTCTCTGAACTTTAGGGTGCTAGTGGCTAGAACACATAAAGAGATTCATTCACTGGATGGAAAGCATGCTTAGAGAATACTAAGAAATTCTTCATAATGTCTACTTTTAGATCAAGAGCCTCAAGTGCTTCAGGACATCAAACAAATTTAGAACTTTTCTGAAAAGCCAATTCATTAAGGAAAGCTGCTGAAATCCACAGGCACCTTTTAAGGAGAGGACAGGGACATAGCGATGGGTGCCCTTTCACTAGAAACCTGTGTCCATTCACAACCAGGCTGGGGAGACTCAGAGCGTGACAAAGCCTTAATTGTTCTTGCCAGAACAACATGGTAATGGAGTGAAAGAGTGGGTGCCCTGTGTACCGAGGAAAAAAGGCAATAAATGAGTCCCTGGCAGCACCGCAGCAGGTCAACCTTAACAAAGATGGGGACGGCACTCTCTGCCAGAAAGCCAGTCTCAGCAAACTTGCTGAGTTAAAACTACCAGATTTAAGCTAAAAACAGCGATATTTCCAAAATATGCAGCCTGCGCACCATGGGAAAAGGAAGACTATCCCTACCTGGGGAGTAGGTAAGTAAGAAATAGTCTCCCACTCTTTTAAGGAAAGCCATGTCCCAGGCTTCCTTTCTGATTTGCTCGGAATTGGCATTAGCCTCAAGTCATCACCCTGTCTCCACTTCAGGTTCACATTTATGTCTGTTCCAATTTTCTCCAAAGAAAGCTTCAACTTTCCTTACTGTAAACTTTTTTTTCTGAAACGAAAAATATTGCACTTCCACATTTAACTTTGGGGACTGAAGCAGAAGGAAGCAGACATTTGTTTCCCATGCTAATTTTTTTTTTTTTTTTTTTTGACAGGGTCTTGCTCTGTTGCCTAGGCTGGAGTGCAGTGATGCAAACATAGCTCACTGTAGCCTTGACCTCCTGGGCTCAAGCAATCCTCCTGCCTCAGCCTCCTGTGTAGCTGGGACCACAGGCGTGGGCCACCATGACTGGCCAATTTTTTCATTTTTATGTTTGGTAGACATAGGGTTTCACCATATTGCTCAGATAGGTCTTGAACTCCTGGGCTCGACTGCCTCGGCCTCCCTAAGTGCTGGGATTACAGGTGTGAGCCACCATGCCTGGCTAATTTTACTTTTTTAATGTTAGAGGAGTTCATCAAGGTGATGATTATGACCACTTGGATCTCTGGGGGGTTTTTTTCTATTATTGTTCCAAATAAGTTAAATTTTTTATAAAACTTTTTTTAACTATAAATCTCCACGCCCAAATAACAGTTATTTTCCCCATAAACAAAACCCTTACTTCTCAGAGGAAAGTCCATTCTGTGTGTGTTCCTTGGGCTAGAATATTATAGAACACCTTCACAAAACAAGAAAAGACCCCAGATTATTAGGGTTTTTTAAATTTTAGTATCGCTTAAAGTGGCATAATCATGTAGTATTATTTTAAATAAACCACTGATTTCCAACTGAGGGTGATTGTCCCCCAAACGACATTTGGCAATGTCTAGAAACATTTTTGGTTCTCACCACTGATTGGGGTGGAGGAGGGTCGTGCCTAGTGGATAGAGGCCAGGGAGCCTGCTGCTAAGTATCCTACAGTGCATAGGCCAGTCCCCACAACAAAGAATTACCTGGCCCAGAATGTCAGTGGTACCCAGGTTGAGAAACCTTGACATAGGTATATTGACTCTATTACAGAATATACAGAAGAAGTTCACACTAACGTTATGCTCAATAAGATGTTGGCAGGGGCGATCATTTCTTCATTGGTTGGATGACATACCAAGTGTGAGGTTGAAAATGGCCAGATTTGGGGGCACAAGTTTGTGCCCTTTCTTCCTGTATGTGCAAGGCACTTGATAAATACTGTGAAATAGAACTGAATCAATCCTTGATCCTTTTTTCCTTTATCTAATAAATATTTGTTGAATCTCTGCTATGCTATCAGATACATAAGGTTTTGGGATTTTGTTGTTTTGTTTTCATAGCTCACTGCACTTTTGAACTCCTGGGCTCAAGCAATCCTCCTGCCTTTACCTCCTGAGTAAGTGGAACTACAGGCCTGTATCACAATGCCTGGCTATGTTTTGGCAGGGGTCGGGGGGGGGGATTATTTTTAGTAGAGACAGGGTCTTGCTATGTTCAGCCCAGGCTGGTCTTGAACGCCTGAACCCAAGCAATCCTCCTGCCTCAGCCTCCCAAAGTGCTGGGATTACAAGTGTGAGCCATCGCAATGGCTAAACACAGCTTTTAAGAGAGCTGGTGCCTCAACCATGAGCACGCCTGTTCTTAATCAGAAAGAAAAGGGCCCAGGCCATTTCTAAATACTGCAATCAGTATTTTGGTCAGGCTATGTCTCTGAAGAACTAAAATAAAATGAGAACGAAACTGAAATGTTAAAGTACCTTTTATACTAAATGTGCATAAAATTCATTTCCAGTATGGCCGATTTTGTCATGCTGTAATTATAAATAAATTTCTACCCCTTTGGGAAAGCCAAGGCCTAAAAGGGCACCAATTCAGGGGACGTATTGAAGCTAAATAAGCCAAGCAAGTTAGATTTTAGGCCTGGGACATGGGTGGGAGGGCTTCTGGTACTTTCACTTTATAATACAATGTCTAACTTGTCCCCACCCTAACCCGTTGTCTCAGGACAGGAGGTGCTCTGGGACTTCCCTTCGCATCTAAAATAGCCGGAAGGATGTGAGCGTGTGGTCCCAGGGGCTGGACTTGCCTCATCACTCGGAAAGGATTCACTGGGAAAGTTCCCAAACTACCCCTCCCTGAGCAGTCATGAATCCACACTTAATTTGCCCCATCAAAGTAGGCCTCATGAAAATATTTTCCCTCAAACTTAAAAAACCACGGCAGGATGAATTCTCTCAGAAGTTATCATAGTTGTAGCATTATTGATCCATGAACAATTGAATTCTTTGAATTCATGCCTAAGAACACAAAAGAAGCCCCTGCACTTTTTTCACAAGCCTCTGTGGAATTTCGCATTCCAGTGAAAGCAAATTACACTTATTTTTTATTTAGCAACAGCACTATTTCCAACCACCAACGTAACCACTTAATAGAGTTTTGTTTATGATTTAGCAAGATTTTTTTTTCTAATAACAAAAAAATGCAGCTACAAAGCCCTAAGCTCAGAAAAATACATTTGCAAAAACATATTGCAAATGTAACTCTCTTCTGTTTTTTAGTTGCCGTTAAGGAAAGTCTTAATTGGAAGAGCAGCATTGTCACCAACTACTGTGCCAAAACCAAAGCTGGTTCAGGGCTGGCTGAACCCACCAAGCTGAGGTCAGGGCAGATGCAGCCCGTCCTCCGTGCTGGGCAGGAGTCTGTGGAGGATTCTGCGTCTGTCCATCCCGGTTGTGAGTACTCCTAGTTGGCCCCGCCAGCCACTCCTAACAGTCTTAGCTTAGAGCCCACCTCCAGTCCTAGAGGTGCCCAAAGCCCTAGTCAGGGTCCAGACCCTACAGTCTGTCTCAAGGTTTGAGGTGCTCTGGTCTGACCCAGAAATAGCCCAGACCCTTTGGAGCCATGGGAGTAGTTGCAGGGTCCAGGACCCATCAAACAGTCCCGATCAATCCACTAGCTACTCACATCCAAGGGCTTTGACTAGAACCAGAAAAATTACAGGAATGCAGCAAACCAACTGCCTGGATGCATTCAGCCCTGGGTCAGTCACAATAGGTGTTGAGAACCCCTGGTTCTATGTAATCAATCAAAGACAGACATCTTCCACTACGAACTGAAACCTCGGCAGGCTCACTGGCCTTAAATCACGCCTGTGTCACTCTGGAGCTATGGAATGAGTTAAACCTCAGCATGCTCCTTGACGTTAACTCATTCCAGTTTCTCAAATGAGAACAAAGAAAACATCAGAAGGTATCCATCAACAGTGGACTACTCTCCGCACTTGGCTAAGCATTGTATCTTCACTCGTAACTCAGAATTTCCCTTCGCTTACAGGTTTAATGCAAATCATTTGTTTGGTTAAATGATGGCACACATATTTGGTTTTTAATTTATAATGTACTGGGTTTACTGTGGGGGAGGCAGTGTCTGCAGTTCTTTATAAATACTAATGTATCTATATGTGTATTTGTGTGTATATTTATAAAGGTACTTATAGTGTGTACATTTACAACAAAATGTAACACATCAAGGGTTTGCATACATTCAAATAAAACACTTTAGATTCTTTGTGACTGAATTTATTTTGTAATATTTTTAATTGCTGAATATGGGCCCATTTTAAGAAAGTAAACAAAGTTGTATAAAGAAAAAGTGAATAATTCTTGTTGTCCCCTTTCAAGTTCATCCTCCTGAGGTAACAGCAATGTTTTCTAGTGTTTACCAATGTGCAGGATAAGCCTTCTGAAAGGAGTTATTTTTTTTTTTTAAGTTTTAAAAAGAGGCCAGGCACAGTGGCTCATGCCTGTAATCCCAGCACTTTGGGAGGCCGAGGCGGGGGGATCACGAGGTCAGGAGATAGAGACCATCGTGGCTAACACGGTGAAACCCGTCTCTACTAAAAATACAAAAAATTACCCAGGCGTGGTGGCGGACGCCTGTAGTCCCAGCTACTCGGGAGGCTGAGGCAGGAGAATGGCGTGAACCCGGGAGATCGCACCACTGCACTCCAGCCCGGGTGACAGAGTGAGACTGTCTCAAAAAAAAATAAAAAATAAAGTTTTAAAAAGAAAAGTGTCAAAGCAAACTGCATACAACACGATAAAAAAAAATATTTCAAGTAAAAAGAGAAACAAATAAAGTGGGAGACAAGATAAAAGATTCATTTCCTCAACATGGAAAAGCAGTAAATAGCATGGCTGCAGTAGAATTTTTACATTAATGCAGTTGAGGAAGGAATGAAGAACTGCAAATCAGTGTAGACCTGAGAGGATGGCAGACATATTTTAGGACTTTCAGAATTGATTGGCGAGTTTTCATTGTTATCTAGACATAGCAAGTACCTAGGAGGTCCTTTCAACAGACATTTCCTCTCAGGAATTTTTAGTCCATGCCCTTTTGAAATCAGACCAATGACCTTCTGCTCATACACCCTCAGGACCCCTGAGATTGCATTCAAACGTTCTGCCAAAGCCAAAAGGAAATCTCGTCCCTCTTTCCTGGAGAAAGGAACTGGGTATCCTAAAGGGAATTCTGGAAATGGTTTGTCCACTAAAACCCAGCATCTTTCAAGAGCCTGTGTTCTCCCCTGTGATGTGTGCAGGCAACATTTTGCTCAACCTTCAAGAAGGCTTCAAAGCTGAGGGAAGCTCACAGGTGCACTGGAGAATTGATCTAGAGTGGCCAAGGAGTCCCCTGTGGGACTTATGTGGCACAACAGAGAGAAGATTTTGCATGGAGGGCTGCACCCCAAAATCGAGAAGGGAGCAATGAGGACTAAAAAATACTCTAAACCCTGCAGGGTCACCACTGTAGCCCTCAGAATAAAGTGAAGGCTTCGGACTCCAGGGACCACCCTTCCAGCTGTAAAAATGTTGTGGACTGAGCATCTTTGTCTTCCACAGAGACCAAAACAAAGATCAAATAATCAAGAGGTGTAAAGGGGGAACAGAGAACTCCCTAGCTTGTTGACCTTAACTTAGAATATGATTTGGAAGTTTTGTTGTATCACATGGTAATCAGTCTCTTGGCCTTTTAAAAATATATGTGTTAACAGTTATCTCATATCTGAACAGAGCTCTCTTAACCTCTCCCCATAGCTAATTAATGATTCTTAAAGAGGGCAGATGTCTTGACTTAAACTTGTGTTGGAAATAATATTGGGATGTGATTAAGATGGTATATGTCTAAGGCGGTGGTTTGACGCTCTGGTTGCACATTAGAATCACTAGGAGAGTTTATAACACTGATACCTGAATCCATCCTCAGACATTCTGATCTGATTGTTGTGAGTTAGGGGCAGGCTACCCATATCATGTTTAGAAGTCCCCCAGGTGATTTGAATATGCAGGCAACCGTGAGAAACACAGGTCTAAGTGATTCAGGCTCATTGGGATCCTAATCCCTTTCTAAATAACCACCCTTTCAACAACACAAGCAATGCTTTATTACAAGCCTGGATTCCAAATCTCACTGCAGCACTGTGATGAGTCAGGCTGGACCTAATGAATGCCTTTGCATGCACCTAAAGAGCCAAAAACAACTGAAGGGCTAACTCTTCCTCTCCATCCCCAAGTCCAAACCCACGCCTCTGTTCTTCACCATCCTACCAAGAGGAACAGTCACACCTGTCAGCAGGAACCAGAACGAACACCAAAGAAACCAGAGAATCCCTCTTGAGGCCTGGAGGAATGCTGGCCTGGGCCTCTCCCAGGTCGACAGAGAGAAGGACGTGGAAAGGGGAGAGGGATGCTGATCCTCAAGGAGGCTCCTTCTCGACCTGTTTTGCTTAATCCTGGAAGAAGGAAAATTGAAGACACAGCTGTGGCTTCCCTGAGGAACCTGAACTCTCCAGGTTCCTGAAGGAAGAAAGAATGAGGTTGAGGGCAGTGGTGAATAGAAGGGCAGCCTAAGCCTTCTCCAAAGAGGGCAATGCCTCCGACCTCTCAGTCCTCTGGCTGAATCGACAGTCAGCAGATGCCCCTGAGCAAGCAGGGGATGGAGAGAGATGGAGACCCCCATCTCTGAGGCACACTGAACTGAAGTCGAACTCAGCATGGCTGCAGACACATAGGAACACTGGGCAGCATACAACCTGAAGGAGATTCTGATACACACCCATACTCAAAACATTGAAACTAGAAAACAAGAATGTTCTGAAGCCAGAGGAACAGGCCCATGAACTGGTACCAGGGTGACCCTGGGGAACGACACTGGGAAACCAAGAGATGGCACTGGCAATACATGAAGGGTCAGGAGATGTGGCCCCGGGCCTCAGAGGGGTGGGGAGCTGTAATCAGAAACACACAAAACTAGAACCCTCAAAGAGCTGCCCTTCTAAAGGGCTTAGGAAAACGACTTGCTCTGTCAGGAAAGCAACAAGGAAGCTTACCATCTGCCTGGGACACTAATTGGAAAAAAAAAAATCAAGACTACAAACAAAAAGTACCTACTAAGAAATCAAAACCACAAGTTTATGGGGAGTCTGAGGTCCAGATTATGTCATTTGTGTAAGAATCCCAAGCCAAAGAATAAAGGTAGAAAACCAGATTTGGAACAACTAAACTCCTAGTCCACAGAAACAAATGCAAAACCATCCCAAAGTGACATTTCCACAACTCAGGAAGCACAAACATTTCAAATATGATAATGAACACCTGCTAGAAATGGCTCACAGCAAAAATTTATAAACCACACAGGGTAATGAACTGTAACAAGGGAAAGTCAGGAGAGACAATAAATGGGAGAAATCATACTGTCAGAACAGTAGGTAATAAATTAACCTTAAAGAGATTACATGGCTGGGTGCAGTGGCTCACATTTGTAATCCCAGTACTTTGGGAGGCCAAGACAGGAGGATCACTAGAACCCAGCAGTTTGACACCAGCCTGGGCAACATATCAAGACCCTGTCTACAAAAATTTAAAAATTAGATGGGTGTGGTGGTGCATGCCTATAGTCCTAGCTACTTGGGAGATGGAGGTGGGAGAATCACTTCAGCCTAGGAGTTTGGGATTACAGTGAGCTATGATTGCACCACTGAACTCCAGCCATGATGACAGAGGGACACCCTGTCTCTAAGAGAGAGAGAGAAAGAGAAATATTACATATATTTTAAATGATTAAAAAGTTTCTTTTAAAGGAATAGATCCTAGGAAAGAGGACAAAATGAGCAAAGAAAAAGGCATTTTTGAAAGTGAACCAATGAGAAATAAATATTGACAACGAAATTAAGAGTTTAATGAACTGGTAACAGAAAATGCAACCTAACAGAAGAGAAAAATTCTTGATTCAGAAGATAGAGGCAAAGAAATTTTCTAAACTGCAACCCAGGGAAGCTGGGAGATGTGAGAATAGAATGAAAAAGTGTGGCATACATAATGGCAATTCTAGGAAGAGAGAATGGAGAAAATGGAGAGCATCAAACAGAAGGGATGGTAACTGTGAATCTCACAGGATAACAGAAAGACATGAGTACTAAGATTCAAGAAGCATAATGAGCAGTATAAATAAAAATAAATCTACCCCTAGAAATATTGTAATGAAATAGCAAAGTGCCAAGGACAAAAAGAAAATCTTAAACCAGCCAGAAAGAAAATATGGATTACTCAAATTGAGTTACATTTAGACTTGTAAGCAAATGTTCAAAGCAGCACTACTCATAATAGCCAAAAACCTGAGACAATACAAATGTCCATCAACTCTTGAATGGATAATAAAATCTGGTATATCCATAAATAGAATACCATTCAGCATAAAAAGGAATCAGTGATAACATGTTATAACATATGAACTTCATAATTACTAAGCCAAAGACTACATATTGTATGACTCTATTTATATGACCTTTCTAGGAAAGACAAATTTCTATCTGCAGATTGCCTGGGGCTAGGAGAGGAAGCTAAGATTGACAGCAAATGGTCATGAACTTTTTGGGATGATGAAAATGCTTTAAAACTACACTGTGGTGATGGTTGCAACATGAATAGCTTTACCAAAAAAAAAAAACAAAACTGTACACTTATAATAGGTGAATTGTATGGCATATTAATGATAGCTCAATAAACCTGTTGAACAAATCAACAATGACAACAACAAAATGTACAGGGCCCAGATGATTGTATAAGTTGGGTTTTGCCAAACCTTTAAGGTCAGATAACCCTGATCCGATACAAACTTTTCCAGGAATTAGAAAAGAGCAAGGCTTCCCATCATTTAAGAAGCTAATATGAGATTCAAATCTAAGCATTCCAACTCCAAGTGTAGACTCTCCACTATACAACTGCCTCTATCTCTGTGTCTAAGGGTTTTTTTTTTTTTTTCTTTTTTGAGAAGGAGTCTCACTCTGTCGCCCAGGCTGGAGTGCAGTGGCGCGATCTCGGCTCACTGCAAGCTCCGCCTCCCGGGTTCACGCCATTCTGCTGCTTCAGCCTCTTGAGTAACTGGGACTACAGGTACACAGAACCAGGCCTGGCTAGTTTTTTGTGTTTTTAGCAGAGACAAGGTTTCACCATGTTGGCCAGGTTGATCTTGAACTCCTGACCTCAGATGATCTGCCCACCTCGGCCT